TACTAGGGGCTCCTGGCCATACTACTAGTAACAAGGACGCTACTAGGCGTTCCTGGCCATACTACTAGTAACAAGAAGCACTTACTGATTGCACCAAATTTCCGATGTGCAGAGTCAGGAAGTCTACCAATGCATCGAATTTACCGCCGAATTTACCAAATATATCTTTGGCCTGACGTGTGCAACCTCTCAGGCTGAGCCGGCTTAGTCTGCATCCATAAACTGAAACCTCAGGAAAGCCCACCAGAGTATTGCTTCATTTTGTGCCCATCGGTCCAGTTGAAGTAGCATGGCCAGGCTCAGGGCCGAGGTAGCCATCCATGGCCAACAACTTCGCAGCCATGGGTCCATTGAAAAAGCTGAAGAGAACACTAAGCCTGTGGCCCTATGGAGGAAAGCTGGGATGGTGGTCTTTTGTGTTTCTTTCGAGAAGTCAGTCACACGTTTTGTTTTCAGCCTGAGATCTCTAGTGTTCAATGAGTTGCTGCCTCTAAACAATTATGCACGCAATTTCAACTCTGCAAAACTTAAAAGCACTACATGTGAGCATCCCATGCTCGATCTAAGCCTGCAAAACGCTGCGGTACAAGCTTGAGCGGCAGCTGTTCTTCGTTGCTCCTGTGTCCCCTAGTCGTCGAAGAGCTGCATCCCAACCAATCAGTTACAGTGCAAAGCTTTTCGTGATGTGTTTGAACCCGGAGGCAAGTGCTGTTCCCCCATATGGGGTCCTGTCCCAAAAACAAATGGAGCACGTGCAACTTTGCCTGTTGAGATCAGGAGTTAGCGTTCCCATCGAAACTTGCAAATGCATCGTTGAGACTGGCCAACCCTTTCACACAGCTGCATAGGCATCTGTCCTCCAAGGCTCCTTTCTAGCTAAAGACCCACATGAAATGGGATCTGTGTGGACAGGCTTCGAATCTAAAAAGGAAAGCTCCTCCGGTTCGATGTGGAGCAACTTCCACCACCCAGCGCCTCCGCCAACGGTGATGTTGGCCTCCGCCAATTCCAGCGAAGTTTTAGAAACGTTATAATCTAGCGGTGTCACTAATATGTATGCAATTGTCTGCAAGGTAGCCCACAAGATTGGTCTCCAAACATACATGTTCAAATGCTTTAGCACGAAAAACTCAGTGATGAATCTAGGGAGAGAAAATGGGCAAGGCGGCAAGACCACAAATCTTCTCTCCAAAGTCTGAAGACTCAGCCGGCAAGTGATTATTCTGAAAAGTCGAACCGGAGTTGCAGCATAAGCTGGATGTGACTGGGCAGGTTGATATCGTGAAGTTCAACCTAAGAATCAACAAATGTTTCAAAGGAAACAAGAAGCTACTAGGTGGAGGCCATCGCTATTGGGTTGGAGGCCATCGCTACTAGTAACAAGAAGCTACTAGGGGGAAGCAAACGGCAAAACTAGAATTCTTCCAGCCTCGGCCGGGGCGGCCGGGGTGGCCGGCGTCGAGTGCGACGGGCTCGGGCAGTTTCAGCCTTGGACAGGCTGAAGCAGAATGCACGTGTTTGGCCTGTTTGTGCGCCATCTTGTTAAAGTTGGTGCGTTTCCCAAGAACAAAGAGTTGATGCTGCAACTGGTTCGTTTGAGAGGGGATCTTGATCCACAGGTATCCACTGGTCCCTATTGAGCAGCCTTTGTCAGCTCCAGTAAAGCACCTTTTCGACAAATTTTGGGTGTGTTTTGGACCAAATGTTCGGGGGGAAGCTCCCTCCAGTAGTTTCTTCACCACATTGTACCCACTCACGCTGAACCACTCGGCCAGAGAACCTCCCTCACATCCCGCGTACTCTGCGTCATCACACGGGAGAAGAACTCCTGTTCATGCAGGGGCTTAACAACAGTGACCCACCTGCACAAACAAGTCAATTGTGGGATGCCATCGCCACAAACTGACAAATGACTTTTCTTCTCAGCCTGCTAAGAGAAAAACAAAAAAAGAATTGTTGAAGTCGTCCTGGCGAGCCCCTTCATTCAACTTCCGCCGCTGAGCAAAAAGGGCGGCCAGGTGGACGTCCGCCTGGGATGACGCAGAGAGCATGATGGTGCCAAGCTCTAGAAGTGCGGCACCCTGAGACTTCCATTAAGTCGTTCTTCTCAATGTTTACATGTCGAATTTTGGGTGTGGTGTATGGTTTTTTTGGACTACACCTCCCTTCAACACCTGACAGCTAAAACTCCAAATGTGATCTGACGCAAAAGTAAACGAAATGGTGGTATGCGTATATTCTTCCAGCCACCTGAACAAACTCTAGATGCAAGCAGTGATATCGAAGCAAACTCTGTCCACGCCCTCACTTGCCCTGCCTCCGTCTGAATGTCCAAGATTGGCATGTTAGCATTCGGCATGGCACAGAAATGATCATGGCCAGCCCTGAAGATTGAAAGCCTGCTGCTTTTGAAGGTGAGACACAAGTGAACCAACTCAAACGATACCATCAAGACCAAAGGAACAGGCTGAGTAGATATGTCAGGGAATCAATGGGTGCCCGGATTCACTGTTCTCCTGAGGACAAGTTCCACACCGCCGTTCAAATGCAGTGCAGAAAACCATAGGCAACAATCTATGCAAAATGGCATCTGACGACAAAATTCCCTGGTGACATCTTTGCAGACTGACTCTGTTAAGCTCTTTTTGCATCTCTTCCACACTTGCAGCAGAATGAGCTTGAGAGAGGAATTGAACGAAAGGTACTGAGCAGGTACTGGAGATGTGACTGAAGTGGGATGAGCTGGGATCGGGTGAAATACAAAGTGTAGAATGAACTGAGGTCAGAAGAGATAATCAGAAAAGCTTGAAAACCAGCTGATGCCAATCAATATCTTTTTCCGATCACGAGCAAGTTAGCAACATCTGAATGACACTCTGCACTCAGAGCGGGAGCTGGTAGTCCTTCTTCATGCTATCTGCC